CCCATTCTCTCCTTCTGGGGTGCCCTGGGACTGTGCAGCTGGCCCAAGGCTCCCCAGGCTGGTTTTTCTCCCAGGAAGCCCAGTGGGGGAATTGAATTCCCAACCTCTGGCTCCGCAGCCAGAGACCTAAACCACTAAGCTATCCAGCCAGCACAAAGAACACCTTACAGATGTCCATATCTGATCTTTAGCCCATTCAACAGGATTGACAGCAGCAGCACAATTCTGCTATGGATAAACCCAGACATTTATGGTGTGGATACATCCCTGGAGACCAAGAGGAAGGTAATCTACAGTTACTATGGTGCTCCTGATTACTAGGGACACATGCGGAAGCTATATAATGAAGAAAGCTGGCAGGAGAATAATATTGATTCATTGGAAAAGTGTCGGAGGAGCACTTTGCTGATAGCATGGGCCTCCAGAAAGCCAAAATAAGCGGGATCCTGAACAAATGAAGCCCAAACTTTCTCTAGAAGTAAAAAGGACTACAGTCGTGCCCCGCTTAACGATTGCCTCGCTTAACGAGGAAATCACTTTATGATGAGGTTTTTGCGATTGCAATTGCGATCGCAAAACGATGGTCTAAATGGAGGAACTTCGCTTAGCAATGATCGGTTCCCTGCTTCAGGAACCGATTTTCGCTTTACGACAATCAAAAACAGCTGATCGTTGGGTTTCAAAATGGCTGCCGGCTGAAGAAAATGGCCCTCCGGATTCCTCGCTGCACAGGCAAGGAAAATGGCCGCCCCTATGGAGGATCTTCTCTGGACGGTGAGTTTTCAGCCCATTGGAACGCATTAACCGGGTTTTTATGCGTTTCAACGGGCTTTTTTATTTCGTTTGCCGATGTTTTCGCTCTACAGCGATTTCGCTGGAACGTATTAACATCGTCAAGCGAGGCACCACTGTAATAGGAGGCTATCGCGTTTTGGACACATTATGAGAAGACAAGGATCTGTAGAAAACAAGGCTGGGTCAGGTAAGGCAACGGGAAAAGAGGAAGATCAAACATGAGATGGATTGACTGCCTAAAAGAAGCCACGAGATTCCAAGAGCTGAAGACCTTTCGGTCGTTCGTAGGGTGGCCCAAGTTGGACACTTCTTGACCGCACACAATATGGTATGAAAATGTCCTCACATCTCTCCTCTTACTCAGAGGGGTCAATGGTAGACCAGCCACGTACCATCTCTTGCAAAGGCAGAAAGCGTTGGCCTCCAATCGGACTACGAGTCCCAGCAGCCCTCAGCAGCACAGACCATGGTGACATGTGCTGGCAGTCACAGCCTGTTAATATTCAGAGAGTCATATTTGCCCACGTGACAGATATCAGGTGTTGTAAAACGCCGGCCCTACCAGGGGGCTTAGTCATTGCACCCACCCTCAGGCGGCCGATCTCGGGTTTCATGAAACGGCCTTCAGCTACGAGTCACTTAAGCTGTAACCCAAATGAAACGGCACTTTTTTAAAAAAAATGACTTTGTTTTACTGCCCGAAAGGGTGGGAAAGAATAAGGCCTAAGACACTATCCTGATTTTCTGATTTTGGCCACGGGGGCACGACCGTCTTTAGCTGTGGTGCCTCGGTCGGCAAAATGTCCTGGGCCGGCCACGTGAGGGTTTGTGGTCCTGGAGAAAAGGTAGAGAAAGAGGCGTTTTTACACAAATAAAAAAATATTTAAAAATTTGAAAAAGCAAACTAAAAAAAAAAACCCCAACAAGTTGTAAAAAGGAAAGAACAAGCCATTGGCAAAATAAAAATGGGAAATCGGTCTTCTTGTGATCCAGTGGAAGGACACCTTCCCCCCTCCCCAGTGTCAGAATGGGAATGAAGGGGTGTACCCCGCTCTCTACCCATAACCTATTTTTGGGAAATGACATCCTTTGGGTCTTTATTTACTTGAACGGTCCATGCGGAAACAAAAAGGCTGGATATTGACACACACGTTTTTATCGTTTCGTTCCCTCCTGGATATACAGTCCCAGAATTCTTCGCCACGTACCCCCCCAGCCAACGTCAAACTAATCCACACATCCCAACGCCGCGGTCCATGCTCAGGCATCTCTCTCTCTCTCCCACTGACCCATTGAGCCGTTCTGGCAAAGCGAGCGGGAGGAATGGAATAAGACACGGCCTCGCACATCGGGAATCCCATAACTCGCATTGCATTCGAGCACTCGATCAGCGGGCTGACAGGCGACCACGGTGGCCGCGTGACCCAGCAAAGTCGGAGGCTACCCACTAGCCGGAGGGATACGGCCATCGGAGGGCTGAAAGGTCCCAAGCAAGCAAAGAGAAGAGAAAGGTCAAGGACCCAGGAGGTCCCTTAGGTTCAGGAAAGTTGTGTCTACCTGGCTTTCCGGGAGGTAGGTAAAGCTTTTCCTGCACGACAACTAAGGAAACCACGATAACTAAGGCTCCATAGACTGTCAAAAAAAATTCCTCAGTGGTTTTAGGTCTCTGGCTACAAAGCTGGAGTTCAATTCCCCTTGTTGCCACTTGATAGGCATCGGAGTCGTTGATCTATAGGGTCCCTTTCCAGATCTGCATAACTAAGGCTCCACAGACTGTCAAAAAAAAATCCTCAGTGGTTTAGGTCTCTGGCTACAAAGCCGGAGTTCAATTCCCCTTGTTGCCTCCTTGATAGGCATCGGAGTTGTTGATCTATAGGGTCCCTTTCCAGATCTGCAGTTCTAAAATGATTATGATAGATTATAATACAGAGTTTGGGGTGTGTTTTTACTGCAACTCTCAGAAGGGCTGGGGGGGATTCTGGGGGATGTAGTCCAAAAAACTCAACACGAGGGCCCAGGAGGTAAACCCTAGCCAAAGAAAGAGAGAGGAGGGGGAGAAAAAACCCACATTTCTACTACGGAACACAGCTTTTAGGAACTGGTGTTATCCATGCAAACACATCCATAGAAATCAAATAAAAGTCAAAATGGGCTCCATCTAAATCGGGGTTAAGAAACGGCTCATAAAATTTTTAGCCTATCAGTTCCATAATCCTCACCACTTCTGGGAACTGAAACTCTGAAAGGGTCATCCCTACCCTTTTCCAACACTGTAATTCCATAACTAGAGTTCCCTGCAACAATTCACCATTCTGTAACTTATGGAACTACAGTTACCCTAGATTCCTCCCAAGGATAAACATTGCCACCTTTTGTACTACAAGTATTTATTTATCTTTTTTTAATGCCACCTTTCTCCCTGGTTAAGGGACCCGAGGCAGCTAACAAACTATTCAATAACAAAACAAAACCACAATACATTATTACATTTTTTTTAAAAAAAGCAATTAAATGTCAAATCGGGTGAAAACATGGATGGAAAAACATCTCGAAAAAGCTACATTATAAAAAAAAACACACACACAAATAAAATAAAAACACTTAAGAAAAGCAGGCTAGCTTTTCCCTCCTGCTTGAAAGAATGACACATTTTAGAGGAAAGAGCCTTTCAAATAAACTTTAAATCGACATTATGCAGAAGAGAAATAGCTAAGCAGACATGCAGCGGCTCAGCTATGTTTTCTTTTTTTTCAATGGCAAAAGTATAAGCCAAAAAATAGAGACGGTAGTGTGTTTACTGTCTTGCTACTTCACACGGGAACAAATCAACGGCAGAGACCCAACCAGAGGATTGCAAACAAGAATATTTATCAGGTGATGTTTTTACTCTGCTTTGAAAACAGGCATCATCCTGTCCCCTCCTTCGGGGAAGGCGACAAGACGGCAGGATGATTTCTAAGAATGGTGATCTCCTTGGTTTAAAAAGTAGCTGCACAAAACTTATTTACAGCCGGATTCTTTGGCCCCAGATAACTTTTCCCCCATAGGGCTCCATCCTGCTCTCCAGAACGGCAGGCTGGGAAAGGCAGTCCCTGTGCCCCAGATGTCCAGAAGCCAACGCAAAGGGAAACCGAGTCTTCCAAACTACAAGTCCCAGAAGGCTTTGCAAGCAGCCCCTGCGCCAAAGAGGATTCGGTTGCATTGCTGACGACAAGTTCCCTGGCCGCCAATCGGAAGGCGCAAGAGGAATGTCAACAAAACAAGGGTGGATGAAGGCCACATGACAACACAGGGAGAGAAAACAAGGCAGACTTCTTGCTAATTCTGCCGGAGCAATTAAAGAAAGGCGGTTAATCGCCACCAGAGAAGACTCCCAGGTGGAAAATTGGCACAGGGACCTAGCTTTAAAATAGAATTTAATTGCAACCCAACTGATTCGCTTCGTTCTGTCCCAAACTAGCAGTGTCAACGTCAAGGAGAGTCAAGAAGAATCGACCGGTGGGTCTTTCCAAATCTCCCCCCCTCCCACCGCTTGTTGCAACATCTCTCCCCTGAGGAAGAGACCAGTGTATCTCAGAACCTGGCACCTTTTCCTGCACCTCCTAAGCCCAAGGACGGCACTCTTTTTTTCATAGAGCAAAAACAAGGTTTCGTAACACAGACCAGGGACAAAATTCACAGGGACATTCGCACTTCCAGACATTCCAAAGCTGGTGGGGGGGGGGAATCACAAGGGGGGAAAACAAGCAGAAAAGAGCATTCAACCAAGAAAAGGTCAATTTAAATGTATTTAGAATTCATCAACCCAGAGAGGGAGAGAGACAAAAAGCAGGTCAAAGCCGACAAGAGAGGCCTAAGTCTTCCTAATCACATATATATCTTTTTTTTAAGGTTATGCAGATATAATCAACTGCCCCAAACATGCCAGAAGAGCCAGACTAAGAAAAACAGTTTAGAAACCACCAAAAGCCTATCTCCCCCAGAGTTCTCTTCCCAAGGAAGCCAGTTTATAAACCATTAAAAAAAACACAACAATACATAAAATAACAGAATTAACAAAAGGATCAGAACAACAACCTCCAACCACTCCTTAGGATTTTATCTCCAGCATCCATATTTCCATATCCCTGAAAACTTGCAATGGATTCTTGTCTGGGCACATTTAAAGCTCCCTATCTTCAATCCGTCTAATCTTAAAGTCTTACCTGGAAATCGTACAAGGCCACAATGTTCTCGTGCTTCAGCTCCTAGGAAAGAAAAGGGGACAGAAATTTAGCAGCAGAAAACAAATCGCTTCCCCCCCCCCATAGACTGAAATGTGGAGATCGCCTGTCCCCCCCCCAAAGCAAAATGAACAGTGTTGGCGTCTGGATTTCTCCGGTGTTTGCTTTTACCTTGAGAATCTTGATTTCCTTCCCCAGGAGAGTTTGAGATTTGGCCAAGTTTTTCTTGTTGATGCATTTAATCGCCACTTCCATTTCGGGCTTCTAGGAATGAAAAAAAAGTTTTTTTAAAAAATGAATAATTTCAAAGCAGAATGTTTAGGGGAGAGCAAACAGGATCGCACCTTTACACACCCCCATAGCACCATGTCTGAACAAGACCAAATACTTGAACAGGAGGGGGAGTTCAGCTAGGAAATGCAAGTTCAGTACAGTGGTGCCTCGCTTAACGAGCGCCCCGCTGAGCGATTAAATCGCTTAACGAGGGGCTCTGGGCCATCGCTGGAGCATTCGCTCAGCGATGGCTCCTATGGCGTTTTTCTGCTTTGCGATATTCGCTAAGCGATTCGCTTAGCGAATATCACATAACGAAGCGGGGGAGAACAGCTGATCGGCGGTTCCAAAATGGGCACTGGAAGGTCCACGCTGCATTTTCGCGCCCTGCCCTCGCTTACCGAGGGTGCGAAAATGGCGGTGCTATGGAGGAAGATCGCTTAACGGTGAGTTTTAAAGCCATAGGAACGCATTGAACAAAGTTCAATGCATTTCTATGGCTTTTACCTTTACACCCCCCCCATAGCACCATGTTTGAACAAGACCAAATACTTGAACAGGAGGAGAGTTCACCTGGAAAATGCAAGTTCGGTATTCAAATCCAACCCCAGCACATGTCCAGACTTGCCCGAGATAGTTTTAAAGCCATAGGAACGCATTGAACAAAGTTCAATGCATTTCTATGGCTTTTTTATTTCCGTTTAGCGATGTTTCGCTATAGCGAAGGTTAATCCAGAACGGATTAACCTCGCTATGCGAGGCACCACTGTATTCAAATCCACCCCCAGCACATGTCCAGACTTGCCCGAGATTGAATTAACATTGTTGGCACTAAAACAAAGCTTTATGCTGCTCTTACACGGACACATATGTTTCTTTTATTTCATTGTTGGCCATTAAAGAGAGCCATAAAAGCAAGGCCATTTCTGGAGACCAAGTTATTGTTAAGGGATAAGAGTCTGGACATATTCTCTGCCGGTTTTATAGGAACCGGTAACGGAATTCCCTTAAAGGAAGTTAGCCTTTCACCTACTGTCCCCAAGACTCTAGGAGAGTCGGAGACCACTCTCAAGGGGGAAGAGATTGCAACATACAACTCCTAATATTAATAATGATATAGTGTGTACTGGTCTGCTGGTTTTCTCTTGCAGCCCATGGCATCGCTATTTTCGGCACAGAACAGGGGGGAGTCCTCTCCCCTACCGATCCGCTTGGATGCGATGAAGAGGGTGCTCGCCTGGGTGGAATTTTCGGGTCACCTCTGGGGACCAACGGTAACATCAACACGAGACTGCGGTACAGCTCCTGGGGAATATTTATAGTCCCGCCAGCGCTATAAATGTGTGTTTGCTGGCCGGTGGCTGCCACAGATAGGACATGCCAAGTTTCCCCGAGATAAGGCCTTGTTTTCATTTGCCGACCAAAAGTTCGCACTGTTTTCACAAAGCTCCAAATTTCTGTCCCACTTAAGAGATCAACTCTCTTGAAACTTACTTTCCGGGTAAAGAGGTCCACCGGAGGAGAAAAAAAACCTTATTCCAATTTTCTCCCTTCAAAGGGGCATCCTATTGACCTCAATAAGTCTGGGGCTCTCCTGCTCTCCCTACCCCACCCGGGGAAAAGTCCCACTGCATGGAACGGGGACCTTTCCCCTATAGACCTTCATCGGATGGTGTGGTTCACGACCACACAGACTCAAAACCAGGCTCACCCCAACCGAGGAGTTACCATTCTGGGCTTTACTTCTAGGAAAACCTTTCCTGGAGGTTTCCTTGAGATGTTCAGGAAGGAAGGAAGGAAGAGCTTGGAGACATTTTTCATGGTTTTTTGAGGCCCCCACAAACAGAAGGAGTTCTCAAGGAGTTTGGGAGTTGCTATCAAGGA